ATAGCCTTCCACATAGTAGCCATTCTAGAATTAGTTCTGTAATGTTCTATAATGTTAATTGTCTTATGCATTATTTTGTCTAAATATTCATTTTCATAAAGAATATATAATCAATGTAGAGAATGCGAGTTCAATATATTTTAAAGACTGTTCTCCCAACCTTATCCGAACTCTCATGCTGGTTCTCAAATATAGTTAAATATTCTAAGGAAACATTATTGGATTTTAAATCCAAAAAAATAATCATTACATCTCTTTTATCCAAATGTGTTACTTGTTTAAGATACGCAAAGAGAAATTTAACAGCACCGATATCTGCATTTCCAGAAAATCGCGTAAGAGATGCATCTATTTTTGAAATTATTGGAATTGATATGGCTGGACCTGTGTATTTAAAAGGAGAAGGAATTAGGCTTGGATTTGCGTATATACACTGATGTACAAAAATTAAGGACGAAGTCGAAAAATTAGCATATCAGCTGAACGAAGAGGCGAACAAAAAGACCAATCAGGAGATTAAGTAAGTTGATGTACGGTAGCACATGCGTAGATATGCAGGTAGACGCAATGGGGGAGTGTCTGAGTAGTATAAAGCATGTTGTCGGTGTAAGATCATTATTTCTGGCAAAGACATTGCACGCCGTATAGCAGTTAAAATCACACCGAGTTGCTGCCTCAGCGAGAAATGGTGAATAATCAATCTGTTAGACGACACCTGGATGCTTTTAACCGAGGTCGAATCATTGGGAAGTTGGAGGAAGGCTGCAGTGTGACAAGTGTGGCTGCAGAGTTCGGAATTGCTCACAGCATCGTTTCACGACTTTGGAGACAATTTCAAACTACAGGAACAGCTATCCGGGAGTTTAGTAGTGGTCGTCCACGAGGAACCACACCCGCAGATGACCGGTATATTGCCTTACAGGCCAGAAGAAACAGGCGGCAGACAGCGAGAGAAATCGCTAGACACACGACACAGGTGACTGGACGACCGATATCGCGTTTTACCGTGGCCAGAAGACTGCACGGGTGGTGGTCTGTTTGCACGACGCCCTGTACGGTGTGTACATCTAACGCCTGCCCATCGGAGAAGGCATTCTCTGTGGTGCCGGGAACAGCGGAATTGGAGAGACAATGAATGGAGACGAGTACTCTTTACAGATGAGAGCAGATTCAGTCTGAGTAGCGATTCTCATCGCATACTCATCTGGAGAGAGCGGGGAAGCCGCAATCATCCCTCGAACATCATTGAAAGGGACAGGTATGGAGGTGGCGGTGTTCTCGTTTGGGGAGGCATCATGCTTGGTAGTCGTAAAGACCTTCACATCTTCAACGCAGGTTCAGTCAACGAGACCCGTTATTGTAACGAGATTCTTCTTCCATATGTGCGTCTTTTTAGAGGCGCTATGAGTCCGCAGTTCCTTTTCATTTAAGACAATGCACCATGTCATCACACAGTAGCTGCCGAACAGCTCTTAGAGAGTGAGGATATTGAACGTATGGATTGACCGGCACGATCTCCGGATCTCAATCCCATCGAGCATGTATGGGATTTTCTAGGCAGACGCTTGGCAGCTCGTACCTTACCACCAGTAACGATTCCAGAGCTTCGATTGCCGCTGCAAAACGAATGGGCAGCAATGCCTCAACAACTCATTGACACCCTCATTCGCAGCATGGACAGACGCTGTGAAACCTGCCTAGCAGTCAGGGAAGATCATATCCCCTATTAAAGACCGGATGTTTCTTGCTGGACACCCATGACAGGGATGTTTCGGCCTTCAGTCGCATTGCGCTCCATGCTACTTTTTCAATAAAGCTTCTTTTTATCCCTCTGATTTCTCTTTTAGTAAGTGTTGCTTACATTACTCATGTCCTTACGTATTGGGGATCTTACGGTATTAAATGTGTTGATTTGGAAAGCTTTTGTACAAACTTATATTGAAAAAACCGTCTCGTCCTTAATTTTTGCACACCAGTGTGCGTGTGCTGTGTATAGAGCTGTGCATTTTGAACTCAGTTCCTCGCTGTCTACAGAGGCTTTTCTCCAGTTTCCGTCGGTTTATAGCCAGCATGAGGCCGTCCTTCTGTAGTTTATTGTGACAACGGAAACAACTTCGTTGGAGCATCAAATTGTTTGAAATTCGTTGATTGGAATGTCGTTGCTCAATACACCACCACTAAGAAAATTAAATGGTTTTTCAAAATCTCAACCTCCTCTTGTTAAGGCGGTTTTTGAGAGCGATTAGTTGGCTTGATGAAATAAATTCTTAGAAGAATTTTGGGGAAATCTCTGCTGTCTTTTGAATAAATGACAACGGTATTGTGTGATGCTGAATTTGTTATTAACTCTCGTCCACTTACCTATGTTTCAGAAAAGGTGTCTGAACTTGTTCCTTTATCTCCTAAGTCATTTTTGCAAGATTTCCGAAAGTCAGGCGTTCCTGATTTGGATGAGATTGATCAGCATTCCCTCAACAAGATATTAAAATATCGTCAACAACTAATCACGGATATACGAAAAAGGTTCAGATCTGAAATATCCTAGGACTTTTGATTCAAAGACATGATCCGAAGAAGCATGAACAAAGTATCAAACTTGGAGACGTAATTCTTGTTGGAAGTGATAATGTTAAATGGTACTGAGTGGCCATTAGCCGTTATTACAGAATTGTTACCTGGAAAGAGACAATGTCATTAGATTGGTACGATTGAAAACCACAAATGGCAACTTTTACGTCCCGTACAATGAATTTTTCCTTTAGAACTTTCATATAATTGGTTCGAAGATCTAAAAAAATGAAAGATTTGAACAAGCTAGGGTTGAAGGGTATTCAGTGGAAAACAGCCAAAAAGATATTAAATCTATAAAAACCAGGAGTGGAAGAGAAGTGAAGCCTATCCAAAGACTAGACTTATAAACTTTATAAATGTTTGGACTTTAATTCAGTTCTTTTATGTTTTTTCATTAAGTTTTTCTTTAATATTTCTAATAGGGTGGGAGGATGTTGGATTTCAAAACAATGTCGTTTGTATTTTGTATTTACTTTACTTTAATTTTATACTTATAATTTTACAATACTTATTACTTTTACCTTTTGGCCACTAATAATTGTTGTTAGTTTGGCTTCATGAGAGTGGCAACAGGGCAATTCTTAGAATTAGGTAAACATGTTTCTCTAGTTAGGCTAACTGAAGATTAATTGTATGTTACATACCTGAGTGATGTTTTTTTTTAAATAAATGAATACTTTAGAATATAATAGTCTCGTCTCTTTTAGAGTCCTTGATACGCTGGTAGCGTAATAATTTGACGCGTAAGCGAACCCCGACCGCCTGTACTTAATGACCGAAAACAGCGACCTGTGCGTAGAATTGTCAAAGCTGCGTGAAATAGCAGCAAAAATTGTTGGGGGATGTATGATGGACGTGTCTGAAACGACAGTGAGACGAAATTTGACTTTAATGGGCTATGGCAGCAGAAGATCGAGTCGAGTGCCTTTACTGACCGAACGACCTCGCCTGTAGCATCTCTCGTGGACATATCGGTTGGATCCCAGACGATTGAAAAATCGTGGCTTCGTGAGATGAGTCATTATTTTAGCTGGATAAAATCCTAGTATACGGTGCAGCCTTGGCGCAATTTTGAAAATTATCACCAACACCAAAATGATCCGTTTAACTACTCATCGTGTATGTCCCGTTTACTACTTATCATAAATTCGCCAAAAGTAGCCAAATCCCGTGTGCACCGGTTACTAGGATTAAACCTTCAGCTGCTAACAGCTGATGGCAGACTTCAAGTGTGGCACGAAGCCATGTACGCAAGTTGTCAACAAGGCACCGTGGAAGTTCCATAATGGTGTCGGTTGGCTTTTGATGACATATCCTGGGTCCTCAGGTCCAAATGAACGGATCATTGACTAGACAAATGAAGACCTCTTGCAGCCATTTATTGATTTCATGCACCCAAAAAACGAAGGAATCAGCTGGCTTTTAATGACATATCCTGGGTCCTCTGGCACCAAATTAACTGATCAGTGACTGGAAATGATTATATTCAGCTACTTGAAAATAACTTGCAGCCATTTATGGACTTTATGTACCCAAACAAAGAGGGAATTTTTATGGATGACAATGTGCCATGTCACTAAACTACAACTGTTCGCAATTGGTTTGAAGAACATTACAGACAATTCCAGCGAATGATCTGGTCACCCAAGTTGCCCGACATGAATCCCATCGAACATTTATAAGACATAATTGAGAAGTCAGTTAGTGCACAAAATCATGCACTGGCAACACTTTCGTAATTATGGACGTCTATAGAGGTAACTTGGCTCAATATTTCTGCAGGAGACTTCCAACGACTTATTGAGTTCACGCCACGTCGAGTTGCTCCGCTTCGCTGGGCAAAAGGATGTTCGACAAGATATTAAAAGGTATCCCGTGACTTTTGTCACCTCACCGTACAAGTTTAGATTTTTTTTTTTTTTGGTTAATTAGAAAACTAATTTTTTCCTATTATTTTTAAACTCAAAAATTCCAATCAGGATAATTAGTTGCCTAGAATATTCATGTGTTATATTTTCGTTTAAAGAGGCACCTTTTGTTGTTGTTGTTATCAATCTTATAAAATAATGTTGGATATTTACTTGCCTTCTTGTACCAAATATAAATTAGATAAACGCATATTTAAATAATTAAAATACAAATTATGGTTCTGTAAAATGCTTCCACTGAAAGACATCCTTACTATGTTAATAGAAAGAATTTCAAGTACTGTTTTTTTTTATATATATATATATATGTATAACATTTACTTCATATTTTAGTAGCAAAAATTGAATTCAACAGTCTGTTTGCATTTGTAATATAATACATATAAGGTGTAATTTACATTTATCCTAGGATGGAATCTTGCAATATATAATTTAATATGTAAATAAAAAATAGTTCTGCAGCAAGAAATTATTATTAAAAGTCTATTTTGATATACTTAGGTAACTGCTCAAGTACTTCGAAAAAGGAATAGTATAGTTTGTGAAACAACATCCGATGTTCTTCTATCAGCAAAAACAAGTGATGCATCTGGTGAGTCTGTAATTTGAAATACTATTATTTGTATATTTTTTTACCTTTTTTCCCCCCAATTCTGAAGTAAAGTGCTGTGTTTTTTCATCATATGTATTACATGCTATTAACTCACTTTTGATGTAAATGTATATTTTTGTCACTACTTGCCTCCGGCAAAAAATAGTTTTTGTCCAGTAGTGATAAAAACTAGTTAAAACCAGTAGCAAATAATAACAATTTGATAGGAATTGATAAAAGCATTTAAAATGGTTTATTGATTAATAATATTACAAATTTATTAAATTAATTTTAATACATGAAAATACTATATTTTAATAAATATATATTAGTAAGAAAAGTAATTATTGCTTTAAATAGCATGTAATTCTAGTAATATCAGGAAAGTAAACCTTTCAGTTTGTATTAATTTATATCATTGTATTTTTGAAAAGTTTTGTGCTTAAAACTGATCTTTAACCAACTAATAATAATAATAAATAAATAAGTAAATGCACTGTTCCCTTTAGGCATATAATCCTAGAATACTATGCTAAGTAAACAAATAAATAACTAAATAAACTACAAAGAATAAAAGTCAATTTGAGACTCAGCATTCATATTTTGTCCTGATTACTGTTGAAGTAGTTTCATGTATAGTGAGTATGTAAGTATGTTTGACAAAAAGAAAATTTGAATGTAATTTGATAATACCATTATACCACTGTTAAAGCTCAACAGATTAAATGTTGGGAATTTTATGTGAAATAACTGCAAAAATTAAGTTGGTACCAAACCGCAAAGAATGAAAGAACACCATTAAAATTGCAATAATAACATCAATTTGAAAAATAAGCATTAAGCAAACTTATTTCTGACATGGAAATTATGGATGAACTGTTATCTAATAGATAGTTTATATCCACAGAAGCTAGAGCAGCTTGGAAAAAAAAGATATGAAAAAGACAGACCTTCAATGCAAAACACTAACTTTGTTACTAAAAAAATTTCATATTACAGGGAGAACTTTTATATGACAATAAAAGAGTTCTTTTATAAATATAATATTTCATTCTGTGGGAAGAATCATTCATTCATTAACTATGTGATCAGTATTCTAAGAAGGTATTCCCAAAGAAGAGGCAGAATAATGCTTAAAACTCGTATGTATCAGATAGCTAATATTGTATTGAATGGTTATAGAGCATGGTGAATTGAAATTGGAGACTGAAAAGAAAGTCTGTGGTAAAATGATTAGAATAATTTGCAGTTGATTTAAGCAGCATCATAATGGCACTCTTCATGATGGTACTGTATTATATTGAAAATGCTGGTACTGGAAAATACTGTTCATTTTCTATAATTCCATAAATACAGGTTCTAAGCGAATGTATCGTACCGGCTCTCAAACAGGCATTTGTGGCATTGGAACAAAGTGCTAAAAGAGTTAATTTATATGTAAACGAATATAAAAACTTTTTCCCATGTGCATAGCAATTTGAGCTTAAAAAAGCATCAAAGAATTGCGAAAACTTGGTATCGCAGAACAGTTTGCCACTGCGCACGTTGTCATTCTCTCAATGTACAGTCGTCTGTTTTCACTTAAAAAAAATCAGAAAATTACACGTGTGACACTGCACACACTGTTATTTTCTGATGTACATAACAATATGTTCTTACTTAAAAAGAATTAGAAGTGCAGGGATTTGATATTGGGGAACAGTTTTTTTTTTTTTTTTTTTTTTTTTTTTTTTGTATGCAGAAAATTTTATCATGGAATGTGAATTTGTGCATTATTGAATGAAATGTTGTTTTTCTAAAGAAATGCATTGCCTTATTTTTCATCAGCTGGCAAACTCCACAGTCACTATTATGATTCCTTCCAACAACAATAAAAGTGCATTTCGTGCAATAAAAAACAAGCACCAATCAATCATCGATGGAACAAATTAATCAATGGAACAAAACAAATGCTAATGACTGCGGTTTACTTGCTACACTTACCTGCATAAATGGGCTGCCACATATATTTTGGCAAAATCATGGGTTGCCTATTTCAGTGACATAGGGTGTTGCTGCCTGGTGAATTCTTTTCAGCATTGGGCAGGTAATCTGAAAGTTCTGATCTAAATTATTAGCTGTTTGGAAAGAAGGGTTCTAGAATGTTACATCATGACATAAACGTACATCTCGTGCTTTATTTTATATCGCAGCTTTTTACATAAAATCAGCTTTTTGTAACATATATTTCTCCAAAGAAGTCTTACAAAGTATTTCAGCTTTTACATTGTGGTATAATTTAAAGCTAATACACATATTAATGACATTAGTAATTCTTATTTGCACTTTGATGGCATTGCATGTAAATGCTACAGAGTTTCAAAGAATATTCACAGGCTTTCCATTCAGTAACAGTAAGTTAACCAATTCCTTAGGTTTTTGAATCAGAGCAAAATTTGTCTTTTGTTATTAATTCGTTAACTTAAAAGGTCTGGAAGAACTTATGTGGTGGATCTGTTGTTAAATGATCTTTGAATAAATATTGTTAACATGGTTGAAATTTATAATCAAAATAATCCATTCCAGCCCTTATACAGTGACTGGTTTAACATGAAAGTGCACATTTTTTCTTTTAAACAGCGAGTGAATAAACCAAAATGTTTTATCTAATTTTAAGAATTTTCAACTAAATGTACAAAAATTTAAAAGAAAAATAAAGGAAGTGTCAGTACCTTTTAGTAGTCTTTCGTTATTAATTATTTAATTTGTGCAGTATTCCAGTATTTTTTTTTTTTTGTTTTGTTTTGTTTTCAGCTGTTTCAATTAGTATGCTTATTATTATTATTTCATATTGTCTGTGTTTGAGAGCACAGAATTCTAGTTATGTTTTTTAAGAAGTTTAGTGATTATTATTTATCTAAAGATCAAATGGTATTCTTCTGTTATTGGGATTGGGTTCAGAAATGTATTATGTGTGCATGGATGGATGGATGTGTGTGTTCATGTATGCATATACATATATATGTACATGCACAAAGCCATCCATACGTGCATACACAAGTTATACGTACGCACATTTCTGAATCCAGTCCTGGAAATAAGAGTATCAATGAAAGATGTTTTAAATTTAACTGTTTTTCATAGACAGTTCTAACTTCATTCTAAAGTAATATGTTTAATGTCCTTTTGAAAATGTTTAAGCTATATATTAACTATTAATTAAAAAGATTTTTTTCTTTATATAAAATACTTTGGTTATATTTGCCAATTATACAGAACTTTTGAAATTTTAGTTCAAATCCAGCCAGGAGATGTATATATTTACAAGAAAGGACAAGGCATACCTTATTATGGCAAAAGAACTACTAGAGCTCTTCTCAACCATTTGTTCAAGGTTTGTGAGGATGCTTTTTTTCCTGCTCATTTCAATTCTATAAATATGTATAACTTGATAATAAAAATAAAAAAATAAATTTAAAAAAAAAATTAAAGGTTATATTTTTTATTCCGTTTTAGTTATGAAATAATTCATGACTTAATAATCTAATTTTCATGGTGTAAAAAAATGCAAAATGATGCACGTTTCTCTTAGAATGATTGCTTATTAATTAAATAACTATTTATTTTAAGACTGATGGCATCAGACCTTCAGTATGTTATGTTCCATGAAAAAGAAATAAGTTATTAACCTTTATTTTTTAATAAATTTAAAATGTGAATATTTTTGAAAAATGAATAATTAAATGATTTGTATGGAGAGGTAAAAAAAGGACCTCTTCATATTAATTTTGATATCTGTTTAGTGATGTAGGTTGTTAATTTGTTGTGACAAAACAGATAATGACCATTTGTCTAAAAAGAAATGATTGTAGTAGCACATAAGGAAATGGGCTGATTCATATTGGCAATGGAATAAAACCCTGTGTTGCTAATCCATTCACTGAGAACCAGATATGGCCTAAAAATAAGAGATATTTTTAGGCTTTCATAGAGTAGGGAAAAAAGGGTACTTACGTATTAACGCAACCAGGCCAAAATTCGCATAAATCGCCAAATTTGGTGACCCTGCTTACGGCAACCCTACGTGTTATACGTAGTTTTTCGTAAATAAATTATTCTTCTTACTGGTTAGATTGAATGCTCTGAAATACTTTAACTATGGGTATTTAGGATCTGCCCGCGAGTGAAAAAGGATGCTGTTGAATTGTTGCAGGGATATAGGAATTATACCGAACGAACGTACTTTGTAAAAATGCTCATAAAATGAAACTGTATTTTGGAAAGCAAATCTTCTGGAAATGTAACGTCGAAGAGTGCAATCAACATTTGGGTCTGAGAACCGGAAATTGGTTTGAAGGTAGCCGAATTTCATTTGTGACAGCAGTGCACTTCATTTATTGGTGCAAAGAGTTTACCTTATCGAATTTATATGGCGCCAAGCTCAAGCTGTTAATGGCGAAGACGGTTTTCAATCAGTGCTAAAAGCAATAGCCAAAAGATTTCCGCCGAAAAAATAATTCTGGAACTTATTCAAATTCGAAACCAGAAGGGTTTAAATGCTATTTTATATTTTAAAACAAAATAATATAAAAAACTTTATTAAAAATTATCTGTAATTAATAAATGTACATTTTGTTTCTATTCATACTTTTTTACTCAAACTTACAAATCGCGCCAACCTGGTTGCGATAATACGCAAGTACCGAAAAAAGTTTTAAGTATGTTCTGTGAGAACATCTCCCTCTTCCTAGATTCTGCAATAACTGCTACTCTGTTAGATTTCTAATTGCTCATGATTAAGTCAGGCTTATCCCTACTGTGTAAGATTGGCTAATTCACGGGTACTTTTCTGTTATCTGGACCAAATTCAGTATATGTATGTAACATATGAGTGTGCTGAAGCCATCCTGGCCGATAATAATTGCCTTCATAGTTAACACAGCATACACAAATATATGTATGTATGTGTGTACATACGTACACGTATGTACACACATACATAGATGCATGCATATATACATACATTTCTGAATCTGGTTCCCCCCCCATGATGACAGAAGAGCACTAATTCAACTTATTAATTGTAATTTGCATTTTTCATAAATACTGGGTACATGGATTTAATGGTGTTAATGCCAAGTTGTTTGCATTTTATGTTAATAAAAACAACGGTACTTTTCCGTTTCAGCAGTGCAAATCTTGCCAAGCTGACTTTATTGGCGACAACATACACATAAAAAATTTTAGCAAATGTTAGTTCTAAGAATTTTCTATTTTGAAGGCATAAACATTTTAATATCGTTTAAAATTTTCTAAAAAGCCAATAAATAAAGACAATAAATTTGCAAAAAGACATTAATTAAAGAATGTACTATGGTCTCATGGTTCAACATCCTGATTCGCCAGTTCATATTGCGTGACCCCAAGTGATCTCATCTCACGCAAACTACGCTACAAAATATAATTCTTTTGGTAATTATCTACATTACTGTCAAGTTAACTGTTAATTTGGAACACAAGTTTAAATGCAAGAATTACTTCAATTCGTACGAACAGCTTATTCAGAAATTATCTAAAACCGCAGTGCTTTACTTCACTACTGCATTCTCAATTAGAATTGATGAATTGACTTGACTTTGCCTTTTTTGTATTTTTGCCTTCAGGTGAGCAATGTGATTGCATTCTAATTGACTTAATTACCGCAAATGGCCTTAGGGCATAAAATTGTACTATCTGATAAAAATTCTATGTAATTGTATGCCAGTATTGAAAGAAACAATCAGTCTGATAAGAAATGGCTGTGACTTGTTTTGAAAATGAGGTGTAAAAGGTTACCAGTGAGGATATTCTGTTTGGCATCAGTTGTACCATTATTGGTGACTTTATTGGTTGTGCCGGCAAAACGGAAAAGTACCAAAACAACTTTCATTAAGTTTAACTTCATATAAGTTAAGTACAGTACAAAGTCCGAAATCCGGACCCGTCGGGACTTCGGTGATTCCAGATTTGAAATTTTTCCGGATATTATATCATCAATTTAAATCTGGTAAGATGGCATGCAGAAATTATACAATTAAAAATATGAAATCGTAATTTATGAAATAAAGAACAATTATGATCTAAAGGGTATCAAAATTTGCAAAAAAAAAAAGCTTAATATTTATTTGTTTACTTTATTAAACATTTCTTTCAAAGTAAGTTGTTTAAGTTGCTTCCACAAAAAATTCAAAAAGTTCCTTTTTGTTTTTTCTTATGTCATATACAGTTGACTTTCCAATGCCATACTCTTCGCATAATTTTGAGATGGATTGTAGATCGTTTGGCAGCTCCAGAATTGGAAACTCTTTTCGACATAATCAAAAGTTCAAACTTAGTTTTTATAAAATTGGCGTAATAATAACAGTCTGCAAAAAATAATAAGCTGGATCAAATTAGAAGATTAGGGAGCATTACAGTCTGCTACATTAACTGAAATACCTTAGAATTGGTAAAGATAATTTTAGCCTAGCTTAATAGCATTATACTCTATTGGCTGTATATCACAAGATCGATGAAAGCCAAGTTGTTTCGCTAAATTTTGTCTTGCCCCTATTGCATACTGAATTAAGCCTGAATTACATTAGTTTAGTTAATTACTATAGCTATGTTTATATCTTATACATTCTTAAAAATTATCTGAGTCCTGAATAAATAATCTCCCACATATACTAGGGTATATCTAGGGCTTTATCTAGGGCTGGCGCTTGATACCACCTGGTGCAGTCTCTACGGGTCCTAAATTCTGCTACAAAGCACCTTCCTAAGTTCTAAATTTTCACTGTGCCTAATTTTTGGATTCCAGTGCTTTCCCTAAATCATAAAAAACATCTCATTCCTTAATTTTTGGCGCTGAGTGCTTCCCTAAATTCTGCCGTCCTGTGCCGACATATTCTGCCACCGCTTCTGGGTTTATGGTGAATAATATATCAATTATTCTTAATTAAAATAGCACTAAATGTAATCTTTTGGCCTATGACTTTCATTACAAAAATCTGTTTTTAGAATTCGAAAAGAAATTTTTGTTGAATTTTTCTTCGTCAACATTTCTTATAGCATTTAAAAATCTATAATCATCGCCTAGCGTAATGTTAGCATAAAAGGTTGCCATACTCTTGTTATTCAATTCCTGATATAAAAAAAGTTTAGACATCGCTGCATGAGTTATTACTGAAGCTGACATGTATTGATAAACATGCGGTGATGAGAGCAAAATATAATAAATAATGACTCGCCAGGTCGGTATCAGGGATATAAAATAGGTGAATGTTTGGGTTTGAGATTTTATGTCAAGCAGATACTCAGCTATGGAGCCAAATTATTAATCTCATAAATTTATGCTTACATGATTGTCTTTTCATAACAAAGTATTTTATTTAGTGCGTAAGTGAAATTAAGAATCAGAATCTTTAAGTGAAAATCTCTACATGTTTTAGGAAAAATCAAATGTGCATGCGTAAAGCATACAAACAAAAAAAAATCTTTGTGGCTTTGAGATCTGGATTTTAGATCATTCCAGATAATAGACGTCCGGATTTCGAACTTTGTACTGAATTTATATCGGTGTGCAGAATTAAAGTATGATTTAGGAAACAGAATTTAATTCAAAGCTCATGTTTGTAAATGCAGAGGTATGTTTCAACATTAATTTTACGAGAAGAAAATTTAATTAATTTCATAGTAGGTGCTTTGAAGTTCTGAGCGGTTGAAAATTAGTGTTTCCAGAACCATATGCTTTTCCAAAGTGTTCTAAATGCCAAGTTTAATGATTTTATGATGCACTTCGAATTGTTAATAAATATGTAAATTTTATTTAACTGTCATTTTGAACTATTCATAAGTGTTCTGTACCTAATTTTAAATGCATCAGGGTCGTCTCAAATGCAGTATTAGTTTCATTTTAATTCTAAGTTTTTCATTTTAAAAGAAAATGGAAAATAATTCAGAATTTTAATAAATTTAGGAAAATTTGCTCATTTTATTTAGACATAATCAAATTCTAAAATTTTAATTGGAGAATTTGCATAAATTTATTTTGCTTATTTAAAATAAGTATGTTCATTCTGCTTTAATTTCAAGAATGACTAATTTTAAAGGCAATGTTTTAATTTAATTAATATTTGTAATTCATAATATATGCCCATAAGAAATATATTTTGTATTCTGTTGAAGAATTGATGGATTACAGGCATTGTTTTTCTATTTATTATATTTTAAGACATTATTGAAAATATGAGATTGTTCATAAATTTTATAAAAAAAGTATTTTAATTTTTAGGTGAATGGAACTCAAATGAATGTGATAACAGGAAAAATTGATAAAATTGCTTTTGATACAGTTGAAGAATTGAAAGTTGTAGGATTTTTCATGCAAGGAACTCCTGGTAAGAAACAGATGCATGCAAGACATTTTTAACTGTCTTATGAAGTAATTATTGCAAAAGTACTGTTTAAATAATGAAATATATTTACCTTTGTGTAGCTATAATAAGGCTTTATATTTCTTCTTGAATACAATCTTACATTTTTGAGTTTTTTCAGAATTGTCCTAAAAATAATTTCAAAATTTGTAGTTAAAAAAGCAGGTTACTTCTAGATACTAATTTAGAATTTCTTGTATAGCCACATTTCATGTAATTTGATATTAGGCTGTACTAAAATAATAGATAAATAGCTAAATTTTTTAATTTTTATTATGAGACATTGATCAGTCTCTATGATCATTACAATTCAGTATGAGGTGGAACATTCATCTAAAGGAACATTTTTGCCAGTCTGTGATCAACAGTTTAATGAGGATCATTTAAAGAGAAAAGAGAAAAATCTAGATTTTCACATATCTTTTTTTAGGGGGGTGGACTGGTACAAGTTTCGTTTCTATGTGACTATTTGTAACTAACAGCTAATAATGTGCATAGAATAATTTATAGTGGAATTATGACTGATATTTTGTTCCACAGGAATTGATAGCGCACTTGGCAGCCATGATTCTTAAATTTTACTTTTGCACAGACTTTACATCAGAGAACACTAGTAATTATTTTGGTCACATAAACTTTGTTTTAGTGTGTCATCACATCATGCATTAATGGATTGCCTGTCTATAAAATTATACTGTTTCATGGGGAGAAACACTTTTCCACTTCTGTTTTATGACTTTTTCTCAGTTTCATGCATGGTATTACATTCAGCCAAGTGTGCTTTACCAGGTTGACCTTCCAAACTTCTGAAATTTAAAATTTGAAAGTATAGATGAACTTGAACTTGTGGTATTAAGTTTCTGATCATAGACTGGTCATTTGTATATACTGTGATATATGCTCTGTTTTTATTATTTTTGTCTTGACTTCATATAAAAGTATACCTCAATGCCTAATTAATCCCTATTAAATGCAATTTTAAAGGAAATGATATTAATCAAATATACAAATATAAAAATGACAATATATAAAATAATGCAATTTAACTATAAATTTATCACTAATTGCTTTTCTTTTTTTCAGTAACTACTTGTAAAAAATCAAGAGGAAGTAAAATAAAACGTACATATGCAAAATAAACATTTCATTTACCAAGCAAAATTTTATCTTTTTTTTTTTTTTTTTTTTTTGGAGGGGGGGACAAAGACTTATTTATTTGTTCTATATTTTCCGTACTTTGCTAAAATATGTGTGCTATGATAACAGAATATGCAGGTATCTCCTTTAGAGGAAAAGTTAAGAAAAACATCTGAATACTTAAAGAGTTTATAAATAACTAAAGTATTTTGCACTTGTCTTCTATCTCCAGCAGCAGATAAAAAATTTGGTTGTCGCCCACCAAAATGCTAATAACTTAATAATAAGTACCTGTCTTCCTGCAGCAGCCATGATTCTCCAGCAAATAATTTTTTTTAACTTCAACACTGTGTTTCATTTTTTTTTTTTTTTTTAATTATTATTTGTGTAGTGAAGTTTTGAGTGTTTTTCAGGGAATACTGTAGAAAAAAAAATTAAGAACATTTTAATTCCCGTACAGTGAAATTATAAATCTCTGAAGAAAATGTGTGGTGAATGTGAATAATGAAAAGTGTAGAGTAACTGTAACAAAGGGAGCTGGAAATTTATTTAATAGAAATAAGATAATATTTATAACAATTGTACATATTATTTTTGTTATAGATAGGTACCGAGATCAGCCAGATTTTGTGAAGATGAACAGTACATGGTTGATAAACTATAATTAAGTTCAACATTTGTTTTTAAAAGAAGGCAAATCAGTGCTTAAAAATAACTAACAATGTCTGTAGTATTCAGATGTTTTCATATTTAATCTATTACTAACCAAACTTTCTTTTAGTAAGGTCATTTTTTCAAATGTTTAACTTTTTTTTAAGCCTGTATTTTAGGAGACACAAGAAATTTGAAACTGCACCCTTAGAAAATTGTACATGTGATGTTAAAAATATCATCCTTGAACTGAGATGATTTCCATAAAAAATATTTTCGGTACTTTTAATTTTGCCAGCGCGGGTGATAAAGTTGCCAATAGTGGTACAACCGAAGCCAAACGGAATATCCTCTCTGGTAAACTTTTATGCCTCATTTTCAAAACTAGTTGCAGCCATTTCTTATCAGATTAATTGTTTCTTTCAATACAGGCATAAAATTACATATAATTTTTACCAAATAATTCAATTTTATGCCCTTAGGCCATTTGCGGTAATTAATTAGGATGCAATCACACAGCTCACCCGAAAGCGAAAATATAGAAAAGGCAAAGTCAATGGTTAAGTTATGATTCTAAAAAATGCACTAGCGAAGTAAGCACGCGTTTTACAACTTTCTGAGTAACTATTCATACGAATGAAATAAGCTTGCATTAACTTGTATCCAATTAATAATTCCTTGATATTATGTGAGAATTATATTTTATGCGATATGAGATATTTGGTCAGTGATATGACCATGAAGCATAGTAAATTCTTAATAATGTCTTTTACAAATTTATGTCTTTTTTTGGCTTTTTAGAAAATTTTAACAAATTAAATGTTTATGCTCCGAAATAAAAATCGCCAAGTTACCATAATCCAAAGATTAACCACATTTTTTATATATATACTGTATGCTGTTGCCAACAAAATCTGCTTGGCAAGATTTGCGCTGGTGAAACAGAAAAGTATTTTCTTATATTGAGATAATGTTTTTTTTATTAATTTATTTGATTGTGTCATTTAATTTCAACAGATGATTTCAGTAGTTCCAAAGTGAATTTGAGTTTTCCTTCTCACAGCATTATTTAGTAAATATTTTGTTTGTAGATTATCAAGCTTTTGAAGATGTAGCTGCTCGACTTAGTCCATCTGTTCGTTTTTATGTGACTTTTGACCGACTGGTAAGATTTTTCACTACATTAATGGCTATTCATTTATTTCATTATATATTACTACAGATAAGGTTCTTAAGCCATTTATATTTTATCACCAAAAAGAATATTTGATATTGATAAATTGCAAAACATGTATATTCATGCAACATTTTATTATATTTTACTACTGTGCACATCAAGAAATTTTATTCATAGCTAATAAATCGTTCATTTGAAGAGAAATTAATTTATACATTCAATATTAATGTCAAGTTCATTTGAATTAAATATTTATAAGCTTCAAAAAAATTTCAAGAGGTTGTGCAATGATGTATTATGTTTTATGCCTCAAAAATAGAAACCTCAAGTTATATGAAATAATTTTGTAAAATTTTGGACTGTGATTGAACAAGAGCTTACCGCATTGCATTGTGAATAAGAAGACACATAATGCAGATTAATTTTCCAGATGATGCACTTTAAATTCCTTGAAAGGAATGTAGCGAAATTAAAATAATTAATTAAAAGAATTGTTCTTAAATTAAAATTATCAGTTTTCTTTCATATCTCACATATATATAATTCTTATATTATTTTTTTTATACACAAACATTCTCATCTAAAGATTTTTATTGTTTTAATTTTTTTCCTCAATTTTTCTGTTTTAGGTAGCTAAGCATTTAAAACTGAGCACAGTTGGACAAATTCATTTGGTGAAGCCTTTCAATAAAATACCTGTTCCTTGTCCTCATAATGTAGTGATAAGTTCGTTTATCTTTATTATATATTTGTATTATTTATTTTTTATTTCATTATTTATATATGCTTTTAATATACCTATTATATTGTAATCTGTATTGATTTTCTGTGATTTAATGAATCTTTGCCTGTATATTGCATAAGCAAAAAGTATTTAAGTTAAATTTTACATGTTATATTAATTAACTTGTTATCTTACAAAATAATCACAAGTGTATTTTTTACACATATCTGAAGTTTATCGTTCCTATTACTTTTGATAAATCTGTCTATACGTTGAAAGACTTGAACTCAATTAAAATAATATTATAAAGTATTGTTTTAAAATATATTGGCATCAAAGTTTTATTGAAACTGAATTTGTCTAATCTTGTATTTAATTTATGTGGTTTATATGTAAAGTTTAGTAACTATTGCTTAAATGAAAAAAATATTTAAACTTTTATTGGTACTACTTGCATATTAACGTAACCACCTCGATGCAATTTTTCAATTTTTTACCCAGATAAAAAGGTAACATTTACTTATTGTGTGCAAGTTGTTGGTGTTTGCAGCTTTTTTCAAAATGTATCTCAAAGTATCAATATTTATTATAAGTCGACAAACGTTATCAACATATGAAAAGAAAACAAACTTTAGCAATTTAAAATACATATTTTAATTATTACATAAGGATTACATGATACATTAAAAATTAGAATAAAATACTTATAATCTTCTCCAAAACTTTCTGTAATATTCTTTTGCTGTTATCCTCAAGTACACAATGATCTGTTTTTGCTAAAATAAACATCAGAATTGTCTAAATTTACCATCGTACATACCTCAGTGACACTGGCTACCTACCATGCATATTTAAAGCAAAAAATATCATAATTTAATTATAAAAACTGTTGGAACTTTGAATACAACCAAATGAATGCATACAAAAATAGCGACATTGATTGAATGAAAGATTGTTATGAACAAGGTTATTTAAAGAATGGTTGGCAGTTTCGCACATTCTTGAAAATTTGCCAACTTCTACTAAGCTAGCTGCAATAGCACATAAGTACCCTTTCTCTTTTATTTAATTTTAGGTTAAAATAGAACTTTAATTGATTTTATTTTTCAATTAATGTTTGGTTAATATGTCTTTACTTATGATGATATAAGTATTTAACTGTATTTTTTGTTTTATATGCATTTAATAATTTGTTTTATAGCCAGCAACAGTAGCAGATATAGAAGCATTTATCAGAGTAAACAGAGGATCCCTTCTTTCTAAGATTAATGAGCAAAACCTCTATGACCCATCGGTAATGTATTCTGTTTATATTATTTTTTCAAAAAAATTTTTATGATTTTGGAAATGTCATTTGGATTATGGGTATGTAATTCTACTCATTTGGAGAAAACATCAGACAATGTTAACTGTTTTTAGGAAATTTACATTTATAAATATTTTTAAGTTAAATGTCATATCATATGAAAAATTTCAGTACTTATATTTGACTATCAAAAAAAATTAGCATCTACTCTATAGTAAAAATACATGAGGTGGCATCATATAAGACAGCATAACTTATGTCCCAGTGTAAATAGAATTGAAACATTTAACAACCATTACCAGTGTTGCATTTTGAGCCTCTCCCCTCTTAAAAAAAAAACCAAGCTTACCAATGATCTAGAGATGAAACCACAGTCTTTCAACATAGCATGCACCACTATTTCTGGGGCAAAAAAGAGCATAAGCCCAACAATAGAAACTCAGAATCATGTTTATTGTTTTTATCAATAAGTTGTCTGTTATGAGTTTGTGCTAATGGAGTTTATTGTGAGTACTGTGCACTACAATAGACTTCATTAATTCTCCATTGCATTTAAATTCAAAATCAGAAGAAAATGTCCACAGAAATATAGAACAATTTCTCTGGTCATTACAACAATGTTTGAAATGTCACAGTCATATCACTTGAGGAGCTCTTAGCCTAGAAACATATATCTCTCAAGCATTAATACTTTTAACTGTTAGATTTTTCACCTTATGATTTCTGATTGTTCTCTCTTATCAAGATGGATCTATGGGACCAGCTTTCCAAACTACCAAAATGAATAGTTTAGTATAACAACAGTGAATCTAAAGAGAAAAGAAGCAGTTTACAAGGTAGGAAGTAAGTACAAAAGTACTAACGGTGCAAATTTCTGCTAAATTTAAATAAAGTTAAAAGGTAATGTGTGATCCAACTCATCAGCAAAAAGACATGAATTCTACCAATTAATGTAATACATGAAAAACAGCTTAATGAAAATTTAAGATACTAAGACATTGATCTGAATGTATAAATGAAATTAAGAAAGCAAACTTGCAAAGATTAATCTCTCTTGTTTGAAGCTTTGGAGAGTTTGAGCAGTAAATCTAAGGTAGAGATACCAGTGTTTCCAGTAATTGTCAGGGTAGTGGAGTAACTGTATATATTCCAAATGATGCTATTTTGTAGGTAACTAGGTAATAGTATTTTACATTTGAAATAAAACTACCCTGCAAGAGTATTCTATGAATTCTTTCAACTTAAGGTCATTTTCCCACAGATATAAAATTGTACTTTTATATCACCATATTCACTCAGTGTTCAAGAAATATAGTTTACAAAGATTGAAATTTGTGTTGAACTTGTTATGGAATACATGAAACTGCTGGAACACATCATTTCTTAGACAGATATTGCAGAATTACAATTACATTATATGACCTAGGTACAAGAAAGCATCTGAACATCATATTGAGGTACTGAACCCTTTATCTGTTGTTTATATATATTTTTTGTTTTGTTTACAATTTATGGCATAATATAAGATGAAAATTTTTCTCTGTTGTGAAAGCAGTTAGAGTAGTTAAATAAATGCATTAAACTATGTAAATCTTTTATGATGAAATAAGTGCTTAGTAAAGATAACAAACCATTTATTTTTCAAAGAATATAGCTCATACTCATTTTCCAAATCTGGAGCTTTTGCCAATAAGCTGCATAAAAGTTCAAATCTGTTATTTACACTTACTATTTCATTCGGTTCTCAGTTTGGTTAAAATCTACACTGTGGGAATAAGTTGTGCACTTGGAAATTCAGTTAAGTATTTACTGAAACAGTTCTATTTCATTCACATATTTTGGATGTCATATTATCTTGTTGATACAGATTAACACTGCATAAGAACATGGCATACAAGAAATAATGCATATAGCCTACAGTGAGATTTGTGTATGTTAGTCTTTTCAAGGACGGCTCAAATTTCCTCGTGATTCTTGTACATTCCAAAAGGAAACATCATATACCTCGACAAAACTGCTCTTAGCTTGTGCATCATTACATGCAGAAATGATGGATTTACATTCTCATTCGGTCTCCTTTATGCATGAATACACTCATCGCTTTGAAACAGTTGAAAACATGATTTTTCTCACCAGTTCACAAGCTATTCATACATACTTCAGTAATGAATTTTTCTGATCCAGGTCATATGCATTACTTGAAGCTGTTTTACCAGTACTGATGTTGGTTGATTATTTTCAAATCCCTGAAATGAACTGTAAGTTGTATAATCTATTGAATGATATGCATCCATAATTCAGCTGTAAATATTTTCACAATGAAAAGAATAAGTAGGAAATTTTAAGTAAAGCTACACTGTATACTCAGTTATTTCAGCTTTATTGAATGTGTGAGTTGATATTTCTAGTGTTGAAATGTATTTTTTAAAGTTCAATATTTTTCTTTGTTTTTTAATTTGTTTCTAATTAAAAAAGAGGGCTCATGATTTCTGATTTAAAATAGCAGGCCATTTTTCTGCAGAATAAAAAATTTATTTTAGTAATGTCACAGCGTGCAATGAACTGGAAGTTGATCTGTCAGCACTATCCTTATCTTCAGCGCAGATGTTTTTATTTTATTCGGCGTATAATTCCTTACTAAATGTAGTATTTCATCTCGATGTACTCCGTCTTTGATATGATTTATATCAAATTCCTCGTCATTATAAATATCACAATACACATCAAATAGTTTTTCTGGTTGCATTTTTAACGACGAGCTAATGTATGCTTTACACATGCGCACGTTGAAAAATGTTTAATAAGTAAAAAAATATAAGCTTTTTTTGTAAATTGATACCTTTAGATCTAATTGCTCTTTATTATAAATTCTGTTTTCATATTTTTTAATTTTATGATTCTGCATTGCCATCTTAACCAATTTACAAGAGGGAGGAGTTTTTCTGCTCTATTCGATCCTCCCCCCCCTCTCCTCCGGAAAATCCGAATCCAAAAGCCAAATTCCCGACGAGTCCGGATTAAAGACTTTTGACTGTATATACATATATATGTGTGTGTATGTAATTTTGCAATAAAAAAATTAAGATTTTTCTCCAAAATGGGAGTCTAGATAAAATGTATCTGCAGTATATTCTGATTTGATTGCTTTGTTTATAAAATATATTTTTCCCCTTTTGTTTATGTTACCTTGTATTTTTCAACACTATTCTATTCTTTCATAACAATAACTGTGAGTGAGTATAGATAAGATATAGTAGATTCAGTCACCACTGCATGGCAATTGCACATTTAAACAATTTTTAAAAATATGATATGATAATAGTCTCTTTCCTGAAGGCTGTGGAGAATTTTTTTAAATATGATCATGTAAAGTAATTCTGTAACCTATGATAACCCATTAGAGGCAAAGGTTCCAACACAAATACATTTTCCATTGCTTCAAATGTTAAAAAATACTGCAACAAACTTTTGTTGTTATTGAAATAATTGTGTATAATCCTAATTTTACATTACATGTAAAATACAAAATTAATTTACAGAATCAGACTTGTGTTGCTGTGTTAATTTTTTTTAATTAAAATAATCTTGGTAATAAAGGCATTATTAAATAAAGGAGGGATATATTTGCCAAAATCAGATGGTTAAAGGAGATAAATTCTTACTTCACTTTGTAGAGACATTAGGATTTTTTTTGGAAGCCAGAGAAATGAAAAATTAGCAAAGCCTTCACCGGGAATCGAACTACAGACCTTTGAAATACCAGCTCAGTGTGCTGACCACTACACCACGAAGGCAGAAGAAATACCTTATATGCTCCCCCTTTTAAAGAGCGACTGGGGTTTTTAGGGGACCCAATCGCCAAATCCTGGGTGTGGAGAGTCCTCACCCAACACCCTTTTAGTTCGGGCACCACTGTAGACACATTAGGATTTTTTTGAAGCCAGAGAGATGAAAAATTAGCAACGCCTTCGCCGAGAATCGAACCACGGAACTCTAAAATACCGGCTCAGTGTACTGACCATGAAAGCATGCTAGGAAGGCGGGAGAAGTACCTTATAACTTAACTTTTAAAAATTATATATACTTTTATATTGCAGTGTTTGGATCTGAAAATATTTTAAAGGCATATTTACTTTTATCTTGTTAAGGATGTTTTTTTTCCCAGCAATACAGAAAGGATACAATCTTTTACAGCAGTGCTCAGCTGCTTATTCTATTTATAATAAATTATGGTCTAATATAATTATATTGTACGAAATTTAGAAAATTTTTGCTTTATTAAGATGTATAAATTACGATTTATAATGCTGTTTAGCAGCAGAATTGTGTTTTAATGTAATATTTCTTATTTTCATTATAAAAAAAAATTAAAGCAACTGATCATAATTCTTTCATTTAATCTTTTTTCCTTTCTTAACCAAAGCTGATTGATCCAAGTAAGATATTAGTTTTGGCAGTTGGTGAAGAAACTTCATCATTAGGTGGATATTTCTATCGCTTAGTCACGAAGTTGGTGAGAAATAATACAGACAATGCAGAGTTTGAAAAACTCAATATAATTTGGATTGAACCTCAGATATTTCCAACTATTCATTTGGTAAGCATTTTTAAGTTTTCCTATCCTTACTGCAAGATTTTATTTGAAATCTTTCAGGAACACATAGAAGCAAATGCCTATTTTGTGTGTGGATTTTTTAAAAATTTTATACAATTATTTTTAATATTATTATTTACTCATTTAAATATAATATATTGTTTAATATAATATATTGTAAGTATTTATTGTTTACATGTAGGGAAAAAGTGTTTTTTCTTCACATTTTGATAAAGTGATAAACTTCAGACATACCGATATATTTTTATATGTTGTAGTCTTCCCTTTTTGTAAACTTAGAAACTGCAGTTTAATTCACATATGGTGATATATTATGAAAATATTATTCCTTAAAATGTTCAAATCAAAATTTGGTGTCTAATTGCTGTAGATTTTTGTAGTCAGATTCAGCATTAGAAATGCTAGTATTTATATAATTTATCTCAGACTGCTTAAATTTCAGGGTTAGTAGTAAACAGTTGGTCAGTGCTTTAATTGACAATAAATCTGCATATTATTACAATTTTTTTATTAAATAATTTTAATGAAATCATAGGTAAATTATACTATCTCTTGTACAATAAAACTTGAAGCATTATCAGAAAATTAGGGTTACAAGTGTGAGTCCATTCAACACTGAGGTAAATTTGGCAAGATAGTGCCAAGCTGGTTATGATTTTGGTAAGTAACTTTTTTCACCAAACTGGGCAAGATATCGGTAAAAGTTGCTAAGCTTGGTGACATTTTGTCAACAGCTTTGTTTTTGCTATTTAAATTTTTTTGTTTTTGTTTCGGATTTTTAGCTTAAAATGTGCATTTTTGGAAACATTTTAGGCTTAAAGTTTGAAATGTAGACAAAAAATTTAGATAGTAATATGGCACTGTGAATTATTTGTAATTTATTTTAGTGATTTTTTTGTTGATTTGTTGTGCAATGCTAGATCGTGCAATTCGTAGATGTTTTTTAAAGTTTAAACAGAACGCTGTGTACAAGATATTCTTGAAAGTTATTGCAGTTATGTTAATTTATTAAAGCGAGGTGTTGCGTAATCATCAGATTCCTTCGCTGGCTAATGCTGCAATTCGTAGATTTTTTTAAAAGTTAAAAACATATCGCTTGTGGTACAATGGATTCTTGGTCAAATATTTTGGTTAGAAACTTTAACATTTTTGCTATCTAAATTTTTTGTTTTTGTTTCGGATTTTTAGCTTAAAATGTGCGTTTTTGGAGACATTTTAGGCTTAAAGTTTAAGTTAAAGTAGACAAAAAATTTAGATAGTAATATGGCACCGTGGAGTTTCTCGCCAAAGAAATTTGGCAACCTGAAGGCGCATATAAGAGTAGTTTCTATAATTGTAACTGGGCTAATCCCTTTGTAACTGTAACTGTATCTGGCTGTATGTAACTATAACTTCCAGCAATTTGGAGGAATTGCTTGTATTGAAAGTATTGGAAATTTCTCAGAGACAAGAAAAAATATATAAAACTAAAGAAAGCATCAGTTTTGAGTTTAACTCAGAGTATTGAAAGTTCAGAATATTGCCAGATCACTGTGCAAACTTTTGCTTTTTGGCGTGTTCTGCATTGTCTTGTGTTGAACATTTTTAGTAGTTTGAAGTGGTGAGTACTGATTGTGCTCTGTAATATTGATACTTTTGCTTGAAAAATTCCAGAACTGTGAAATGTTCTTTAAAAATAAACTTCAGCAAGCTTTTGTCTGTTATTCAATCAGTTACTATTCCGTACACAAGTAACAATATGTTTTGCACTTAAAGAGGTGTAGAATTCATAACAACAATTAATAACAACATTCTTAACAATTGAGCCAAAGGGTGTGACAGTTTAGCTCAAAATAAGATTTTTTATTTTTTCGTGTTGATTCATAGCTATTTAAAAAAATTCAAAAATCCTGTTTATAAGAAATGTAAAGATCCTATTTATAAGTGAATTTTATGAGAAATTTAAAAATCTACTAGCATGCGAGACACTTTGTAATATGACAGTGTTAAATCATTAGCATCTAAAATTCTGTTAATGAGTACTTATTTTTTATATGTTGATATGCCAAATAAAGACTTCCTAAAGCATTTGTTGAAAAGATGAAATGTATCAGCATGAAAAAATCATTAGACATTTAATCTTTAATTTTTTTTCTTCATTTTTTGTAACCCATGATTTTTGAATTACGAATTTTAATTAAAATAGGTTTTGCCACTGATAATAATATTTCTCTTCAGTATAGAAAAATTTGAAGAATAAGGATAACTTAAATGTAAAGTGCTTTTTTAAATTCCTACTATTAGCTCACACTCTCCTTATATCTTGTTCAAATTTTCAATCATTAATAAAATACTTTTTATTCATCCACTCAAGTTCAAATACTTTTTTTTAAAACTTGCAGTGAATGACACTTCCATATTATTTACAGTTTTTTTGCATTTAAAGTCATTCCGACTTATTTTATTTCTGTTTTATCGGACTAAAGATATGCTTTCCTTTTTAAATACATTATAAGACTTACAAATAATGACCATTTATTAGGAATTCTTGCATGCTGTAAAAATTATTTTTAATACAACTTATAAATAATAGTACATGACTGCTGTATTTATTATTCCATATTTGATTTTAGATTTTTCTTAAGTTTGTTGATTAATCCATTAATTGTTTTTAAAATAAACTCTATGTCTAATATGAACCAGTATTCTAACATAAGAGAACATGCATGTTTTTTCAAATTTCTCAAAAAATACTGAACCTATACTGAAAATTATATGGTTAAATAATAAGGCAACAGCATTATTGTCGAATACATAAGCATATTTGATACTTAATATTATCCCATCGACTGTGAAAGTGTCATCAAGCAGCATGATTTTGTGCCAGTTGTGGATAAGTGTGATGTTACAACACACTAGTTATATTTTATTTATTTGATGCATCGGAGAAATAATGGCGATGCAACATGAAAAATTGTTACAAAAGAATATCCATTCAGAAAGGAACAATGTTTCAGGGGTTGTAGAATCATATTTGTGACTGCACTCTAATTCCTTTCCAGCTGGTTGATAGAATCAACATCTGTCGAATGGAAAAAGAACAGCTGAATATGACCAAAAAATAGTAATAGATTGGAAAAGTTATTTGCAGAAAGTTTGTCTCATGGCATTGTGAATACAGCTTCTGGTAAAATCAAAGAGTCTGACAAAATAGTTGAAACTAACAAAAGACTTTTTTTTAATGAAGCACAAAAATGGAGTGAGTCAAATACTTCTGCAGCAGTGACTATTTGGTGGATTATGCAGAGAGACTGATGAATGTTTGCAAGAGTTGCAGATAAAAGGGCAACTCAGAATTCCGTAAGAATGCAGTTTTAGTGAGATCTCAGCCAACTGTTGTGGTTCAGTTGTAGCCAACTTTCATGATCAACAACATGATACACAAGTACCACATAGTCATAAATGGGAGGCACTATGAGAGCTGTAGATATGAGAAGCAATTGTTTGTTGTCCTGATTTTACTTCTTTAATATACATTGGTAATATCATAGTGTTTGTTATAAATTTTTGTTACATTTCATGAGTACTGCAGTAGAGGGAGTAACCATTAAAATTTAACTGATGGAATGAAATGGAGAATCATTGGCAGCACAGTCCCAAGTCCTAGTTGCAGGAGAGGTCTGTCTAATGACTAGTGTCATCTGCAATTTGTGGAAACTATTGCAAAAGGCCAATTTGTATCGATATATTTGCTCACTTAGGACAGGCTAATTGAGACTACCATAGCACTGATTCAACCTACCCTAGGAGCTTTTGGTTACTGTTGGATGTTTTTTTAAAGGTCTATACTTCTAAATGTCAGATTTATATAATAAGCATAAAGCAGCATGCAAAGAAATGCATAAAGCAGCTACTGAAAACCAAAAACATTCTCAACTGATGCCAGATTCGTGAAATTCAATCATTTACAAATAAAAAACATCAGTATTGCCAAATATAGAAAACAAAATAAGCCTTTTATAAGCATATACCATCAGTTACTAATGTATAAAAATTTCTTTTAGTATTAACTTCGAAAATTTAATACATTTACTGCCATCTACATGAATACTTGTAGTTGGCAAACTGAGTTTACTTGTTAGCTATGAGCTAGTAACTTGTTATTGATTCCCTTACATAAATCACGGATTATAAGTATTGCAATAGTAAATGTATACAATGTGTAGGTGTCTGGCATAAAGGAAGTGTCTATAATATGCTTGGTGTACTGAAATGAATAATTTTTTTATCAAATAATTTTAAATGCAAATAAGTCATGGCAGACGTGAACGGACGCACCATATCAGCTTTGGCAGCGAATGGGTCAATGCTTGTTAGATTCTTGCTGTCATCTTTTATTGATAGACTAACATTCAGTTTCTTTTTTAAACAAGAGAAACGAAAAAGGATGGTTAAAAAAATGTAGGCACTGTTATATCGTATCAGTTAATCATTTGAGCAAAATAATGTCATCATATAATAAATAATATGTAATCAGAGGCTATTAATAATGAATATTTTATTAAATTATAGAAATTTCATGTATGTATAGTTATTTTGTAGACTGTTTAGTTATGATGTAATATGTCTTTTTTAAACTAATATCTCTATTAGATTGCTCATTTGCAAAGAGGAATCTGCACTTTGAATAATGGCACAAGTAATTTACTAATTTAATAAAATGCAAATGCTGATGTATATTAATAGAAATTATTCACCAAGTGCATGCAAGTTACCTAGTTGTAGGTACACTGCATATTCCCCCTCTTTAACATAGCAATATTACATCGCAAATGTGCAACTTTATGTTCTGTTTCATTTGTTAAAAAACTCTATACTAGATTTGAAACAAACATTCCAACAGCAAGAAATATTTAAGTGTTTTTTAAACTTCAGTTTATACATATACGTAATTTTTTTTTTCCTAGGTCCAATTGTTTGCTAAATAAATATCACAGTAAGAATCAAGAAAATTTTATATGGAACAATGTGATACAATGTTAAGCTACTTTTTGATGTAATCGCCGTTCTGATTCATACATTTGTCATAGTGTGCTACCAAGTTTCCAATACCTTCGTCATAGAAAGCAGCCACCTGTGTTTTCAGCCAATTCTGTACGCTGGTTTGCAGCTCGTTGTCTGCGGCAAAATGCTGTCTTCCTACCCAGCATTTCATGTGGGCAAAGAGATGAAAAGCTGAGAGAGCCAAGTCAGGACTGTATGGTGGGTGATCAAAAATTTCCCATCCAAAACGGTGCAGGAGGATCCTTGTTTCACATGCAGTGTGCGGCCACACATTATCATGAATAAGGACAATACCTGATGAGAACATTCCTCTTCTCTTGTTCTGAATTGCCCTTCGAAGACGTTCAAGAGTCCTGCAGTACAAAACTGCAGTGATGGTTGTGCCACAAGGCATGAATTCCACCTTTTCGGCCCCAAAACACTGTAACCATACACGTTTTGGTAGAGAATGTGCACTTGAACTTCACTGGCTTAGTACTTGGGGAGTGTAAATGCATCCACTGTTTTTATCGCTCGTTTGTTTCTTCATTTGCATAATGCACCCATGTCTCATCTCCTGTAACAATTTTGTTCAAAAACTCATCTCTGTCCTGATAGTAGTGCTGGAGGAAGGTTAATGTGGCACCCATTCACTGAGTTTTGTGATGGTCAGAGAGCATGTTGGGAACCCATCTCATGCAGAGTTTGCGGTACTCGAGTCTTTCACTTACAATGCTATAGAGAGCTTACCATGAAATTTCAGGAAACAAATCACTCAACCCAGAAATTGTGAACCGACGATTTCCGTAAATTGTGTGATCCACGTGCTGAACAAGATCATCGTTGACACTGGCTTCGGCTTCCTTCCCTGGCCACCTGCATCACGAACATCTGTGCGTTCAGCAGTTCCTGCACCATTTCTGCACTTTGCTGTCACTCATGAATGTTTCTCTGTACACTTTACTTATTCGTCTATGAATTTCAGCTGCATTGCTTCCTTCAGCATGCAGAAATATAATGACTGAATGCAATTCACATTTGGCAGGAGACTATTTTTTGAAGCATGTTTATGTACTCCATACATACTCAGAAATGATAATTGCCCCGAGCCAACTAGAGACACTGCACAAGACGTCTGTACACAGACCTAGCGGATTTTCCCCGAAGCTTCCCTTTAGCGACCAATCGGACCTTAAAAAAAAAAAAAAAAAAAATAGGTCTTGGATATAATTTTATATTAAAGACAAGGGCTTATGAGCTTTATTGAAATTCAAAATTTGGGATACATTGCTAATAGGATTATTTTTATGTTGTTTGAAATTAATAAAAGAAATCAAACTTTATTACCTTCATACTTGCTTAAGGGAATAACATATTTTAAAACTTGATTTCATATATGGTTTTTAATAGCTTAACCTAATGTAAATTTATGAGAGTATACATTTGGGTTCAGTTGCTGAAACACAAATTTATATACATATATGTCTCAAAAATTAAAGTAATTATATATGCTGCAAAGCATTGTGTTGCGTATTTAAATTTTTCTTTGAAATATTAAGAATTTAAAATTAATTTGAAAATGATGTTATTTTGATTCTTATGCTGCATAAAATATTCCTTATAAATCTGGTTCACACAGAATAATCAAAAGTAATGCTTTGTTAATATTAATTAACATTTTTATTAGGTTATGGATGAATTAGAAACTACTCTTGGCATTCCAAATAAACTGCCTGCATTTGGAGCTTTGAATGTGACAACAGTAAGTTTTAAAAAATTTAATTTAAAAAAAATATTGTGAAATTGTGGATCTGAAATTACATCAGAGTTCGTCGAGAGCTCAGTGCCAATGACCAATTTCTCGATAAACTCGAATAGATGATGGAAAAATATTCTTTTCTTTATATTGGTAGGGAAAATGAATAAATTAAAAAAAAATTGTTTTTGTGTGATGTGACTGGGAATTTGTGAGTATTGCCCTTGGACTTCA